TATTGTAGACGTGTTACGTGCCAATGGATAAAGGAAGGAAGAAGAGCATCAAATTTATGTTTATTTCGCGGAAATTATAAAATTTACGGGCTCTTCCGAACAGACCAACACCGTAATTTTAACGATTTTTATTTTTACAAACTCTCGAGGGTTAATTTTTTTATTTCATACCAACATTAAAACTTTACTCTAACCCGACAAGTTTAGTGTGCGCCGAAGCAACCGGCTCTCATAAACAAATATTTACCACTAACTGTGTAATTGCATAGTAAGGAATAGGTTGTTAGGCTTTGGTACCTGTGGCATGCACCAACAATTTATGGCTACATTTAAGTCGACGAAATGCACTTAAAAGCGAAGCCATTTAATTTGTGCTCGTACTAGTATAAGCTCAGGCCAGTTAATGTGCTGAATGCCCTCGAGTCAACCAACTCATCCGACTCCACATTTGCAAACGGCTTCCATAGTTGAAGCAAATGTGGTTAATGTAACTTGTATGTATGTATCTGTTTAGTGCGTAATATTACCGCTTGTTGCACCACATTACTAAAATATGTGGCAGTTAGCGATAACGCAAATGTGTGCACTTAATTTTGCTTTAAATTTCCTTCGACTTGGATGCGACGACCCAAGTGTTTGGCGGCAATTGGCGGAAGTGCAATGCTAAAATATTTAGAAAGGACGAACTGGTCAGCGTGAAGTTAATTGAAGGTGTTGTACGCAATGTGTGCTAATGTGCTGCTAGATTAGCGAAATAAAAAGCGCGCGCTCAAGGTGCTCTGACCACTGGCAGCGCAGAGATGTGGGATGGTGACAGAGGTAGTGACTAGCGTTTTGTAAATGCCAATTACTGTTTGTCTGGTATAGTGAATGCACTGAGAATACAGGTTGAGTAGAAAATTAAATTTAAAAGCTTTTACATTTTATAAGTTCTAAAGAATGGATCGTTGAACTCACTACAGTGAAATGAAATAAAATATTTGAGAAAACATGCGGCCAAGGAAGACTTAACCCACCAGCACCTGGACGGAGATCTATTATTTTGAATATTCATGCTGCTTTAACGACCTTACCTACACTAAAGTATTGGAGTGTTGGGGATTTCGAGAAATTTGTTTAAGTCAGTTTAGTAACGTTAAGTGCTGTTATAATCCAGCTTTAAAGGCAACGAATTGGATAATGTTTTTGGGAAAGCTTTAAAGGCAAATGATGCCTTCAGGGGCCAGAATCTTTCTTCGAAGTGTCCAAGGAATCAGTATACTACAACAATACTAAGAAGATTGGGGGAAAATTATATTTATTACCCAAAAAGGGACAATGAAATCTAAGAAGTTTACAAGCTCTTCTCAAAGGAGCTTTGGGGGACTCGAAGAACTGAAATAAGAGGCTATAAGTGCACTTAAAGGGTACGTTCCGACTATATAAATCGAGGGCTGATGAAATTGCTGTGAAATATTTTATGCAGGGTTGAATATATTTTACTGAATCTCAATTAAATTAAAACTTTCTTAAAGTATCAAAGTTGTGATACAAGATAGACTAAGATTAAAGCGCCAAAAGTTCTAACCTCTACGTAATAATAAAAGGTATCGTGAAATTAAATAGGCGGCGCTTTCAGTTGGGATATAGCGAAGAAAGCGTTCAACATTTTCTGTGCGAATGCCCAGACGTTGCAAATTCAGGTACAAAGCACTAGAAAGACACTTAGCATCAAAACTAGCGCATCTATCAGGAGCCACTGCTTATGTATATAATTCATTTGGAGATAAAAAAAAAAACATAATTAATAAAAGAAAATAATTAGAGAGATGTCTTATCATACCAGTACAGCTGTAATACTACTGAATACTGTTGTATTTTTTTCCAGTGTAATTACACCTAGAATAAGCAGAAATTGCGCTATTTTTGTTACATGCTTCGTTAATATGTATGCGAGCGTTGAGCGAGGTCTTTAACCGTTTAGCAATTAAAATGCCATAAATTTGTTGGACTGCATAATTAGAAAGCCAGCAAATGTCTCATAACTTACTAGGTGAAATTTATTGAGGCGCAGTTTAACAGAACAAAATTGTATACATACAATTGTACTTTGTAATGATTTAGTCCACCTTGAACAACTCGTACAATAATGAGTGAGAGAGACGATTCTCAAGATACTTTATAGTGAAAAAACTTGGTAGTCAATATTTCCTGTAGCGAAAATTTAAGTAACCTAAAGAACAGAAACGAAACTATTTTCACAACATGCGGTTAAGCGAATCTTATCTTATATGCAATGCAGTCAGAAAAAAAATTTGTTTAAATCAACGCGATTTTTTAGCAACTTAAAACTTGCACATTATTACCCTGGAATTTAATGGACTATGTACTTGTACAATACACTATTTTAGCATTAATCAGTAAATAATATTTTAGAAAGTTTATCCAAACAAATATTTTACTCCCCTACATTCCGGTAAGCCGTCAAGCTGTCAATTATCATTAAGTGGCGCCATAGATCTTTAATTGCTGATGCAGTTGCTTCGCCTAATTCGCCTAAAGTCTTAATTAATCAAAATGTTGACAATCAATTTTTGCTACACTCGTGATTGTTGTTGTTGTGCGCATTGTTGTAGCCGCCTATTTGGCCAAAAATGGTGATGGCGAAGTACATACCACTAAATTTTTCAATTCACTTGTTTGCCGCATTTTTTCGTTGATGACTTTCGGAAAAATTTGTGGCACGTTCAATTAAAAGTGAATAAATGCAAAGAACCAAAAATGGGCAATGGACATGAGCATTTGACTTCGAGTCGTGTGGTAGGTACTCATAGTATATACATACATAAAGTTTGAGCAAATGTTGTTGGTGGAAATGCGGCTACCAAAGTTGTGGAGTGCATAGTTCGGTTTTTGTTTTTGCTGTGTTTGTTGCCGTTGGTGGTGCAAGTAGTACTACAACGAAAATAATTGAGTAGCGCACAACAGTTGTTGTTGTAGTTATGTTCGTAGTTTCGTGGTCTTGTTGCTGCTATTCGTTGTTGTGGCTACCCCCTCTTTTTTGACATTTTCGGTTGTTGTTTAGGAAAAACGTGCCAACAGCTCATTAGTGGCACATTTTCAGCGAACAACGTCAATCGCCAGGTCAGTTAGTGGTTGTTGCTTGCAAAACTAAATTTTCGTGTTTTGCTGTTCGGATGTTTTTTCTTAATTGCCTTTTGCCCTTTTTCCTAGCGAGGAGGACACGCGTCACTAACACTGACATTCTTTTGTCCAGCTGTTGCAACATCTCGTACATTTGATGCAATTAAGGTGGCAACATAAAAAAAA